TGTTTTAAACAGGGTTTGTTTAAACGCACATTTACCTTTGATCTGATGGAAAAGGTCCCTCTCTGAAGGTGATTGGTTCAGCCATTGACCTGTCAGTCTGTCACTCTTCAGGGAAACACAGCTGGGTACAGGGGAGTCTGCTCTCTTCATCAGGACACTGTGGGCAGCGAGAAGAAACAAGCCCTCATGGTATAAATATAAATCATACAATGCGGACAGCATCACATTACATCTTCAGTTCTTTAGCAATCTTCTCTCCCAGCTGTGAAGCTCTTGATGTAAACAGGCATGTTTATAGTTAGTTTTAATGTGAAATAAACTGCATGAGCTAAAATTAAGATTCCTATACGGAAAGTTTAGTATCATTGTTACAATTTCCGTTGTGAGACTTGGTAATTTTTTTCCTGTTTATTGACTCATTTGCTTGTTGATCGCTGTTTCTAACCATTTTTGGATAGGCTGCGATGATCTCTTGGTTGCCTCCAGTATAAATGAACTGGCAGATTGTGGAAGAATAAGGAGAAGAAAGAAGATGCTGAGGTCTTTTTATTAACCTACTCAGAGGAATTTGTTACCCACTGAGCCAGCCCTAGCTAGGAGCCCAGTTTACTTTTATGTTATGGCCTGACTATAGACCGAAAGACATGCATACTAGTGAGCTGTACAATCATTTTACCATAAATCGCAATATTCTTCACAACATGACTCTGACAGTGTTCCTGTCTTATTCCGGCATTACTCATATGACCACTATTATTAAATCTGTAAATCTTTTTGAATTATTGAAGGAACTACAGAATGAATAATGAATAACACAAGTGAAATACTTATCTAATTTTTGCTCATCATTAATGAATCATCTTGACGCATCTTTTCTCAAGTAGCAACTATATTTGTTCATGGTTTACTTCAGTAGTAACTCAGTTATTAATAAGTATTTGTGCCCCGTCAAGTAAAGTGAATCTGTATAAAATTAACCCCAAAAAACCTGAGTGTGAATTGTTGCCTCATTTTATTCGAGTAAATTCTATGCATTACTTTTTTTAGAGCAGTTTCTTATTGTACAGCTATACAAATGTAAGCCAATCTACATAACAGCTATATATCAGCAATAAATAATGAAAAACCCAGTTTATTATGTAGAACTGAACTGCATTCTTCCATTTGGTTTCTGTGAATAAGGCAGAAATATAAAGATGTCAAATCATCCTCAGAAATGTCCCCATTGTGCTCTTGCTGCTGACAAAGAATAACCTAGTGTTACATTTTAATTGGAAAAGATGTAAGATGCCTTTGTAAGCTTTATTCATTAGGGCGGCTTCACAGCATCAATTTCCTCATAACAGTAGAGAGAGACCCAGTGATATCATGCTCCACCACGGCAGAGATACAGCAGGCAGGACGGACAGTTTGCCATGTAGCCCTTTGTAACCAGTGACATGTAGAGAGATTAACTTGATTTCAAATCAGAATTCAGATTTTCAAACTTCACACATAATCTTATATGAAAATACACCGGCACGGCAAAAAGGATAATAAATGTCATTTTCTCAGTTAGTGGGGGGATTGATCGCGATCATAATGGGACACAGGCTTTTATTTATTTTTTATTTACACGACCCACGGCATGTTTATAATTTATTATTTATTATTAAATATGGCCAGTAGATCATTTGCCACAGAAAAAAACAATGTAACAGCAAGTTTCACCGCCAGCACCAGTAATATTAGACAAAAGTATATTGTGTAAATGGTAGCAAAAACTATGTTAATTGATGCATTAAATGTAACTGAGGTACAAATACTGTATAATTTCATCTTATCAATTTTTGATCAGACTATTCGTATGTCTTTTCCCCGCACTTCTGCGTAACTTCCGAGTTATTTTTCTACATGTACATAGAGCAATGGAAATGCATTTTCAGCTATTGAGATGTCCTTTCAATTACATATACAGTTATGTGCAAAATAATAGCAGTGTGTTTAAAACAACAGAGGAAAATTTCCATGTTCCTAATAGCATTTATTTCCATATATACAAAGGCACTGGGAGCCGTGCACATTCAATTCCAAATGAAAACATGAACAATTTTTTCTTTTCTTTTTTTTTTGAAAATGAAGAAAAAGGATATTAGGTTGTTCAAAAAAATAGCAGTGTCTGCATTTTCATTTACAAACTGGAATATTTACAGTATGAACTGAAAATGAAATGAAGATTTAGCTTTTCCTTTAAGCACTGAACAAATATTTAGTTGTATAATCATTATTTCTGATCACTGCTTTACATCTGTTTGGCATGGAGTCAACTAACATTTGACACCTGCAAACAGAAATTGCAGCCCAAGCTGACTGGACTTCATTCCACAGATCTTCTGCATTCTTGGGTTTCGCATCAAAAACAGAATTTTTGAGGTCACTCCACAAATTCTCAATCGGATTGAGGTCCGGGGATCGGGTTGGACACTTCATGACGTCAATCTTTTTGGTCTGCAACCAGGATGTTGCCTGCTTGCTGATGTGTTTGGGGTCGTTGTCCTGCTGAAACACCCATTTTAAGGGCATTTCTTCATCAGCATAAGGCAACATGACCTCTTCCAGTATTTTTAGGTACTGAAACTGGTCCATGGTGCCTGTTATGTGATAAATGGGCCCCATTCCAAAGTATGAGAAACATCCCCAAACCATTATGCTTGCACCTCCATGTTTTACGGTCTTCACAGTGTACTGTGGCTTGTATTCAGTGTTTGGGGGTCGTCTCACAAACTGTCTGCGGCCTTTAAACCCAATAAGAACAATCTTGCTCTCATCTGTCCATAGAATATTGCGCCACTTCTCTTTAGGCCAGTCAGTGTGGTCTTTGGCAAACTGTAAACTTTTCAATACATGTCTTTTTTCAGCAGTGGTTCTTTATGAGGATTTCTTGCAAATAGTTTGGCTTCACATAGGCATCTTCTGATTGTTGAAGTACACACAGGTAAATGGAGATCTTCTTTGATCTCTCTGGAGCTGATCATTGGATGCTTCTTTGCCATTCTTGTTATTCTATGATCTAGGCGGATGGTAGTATTCCTATTTCTACCACGTGTTTCGGGTTTTCTTTCCCATTTCAAAGCATTTGAGATCTTTTTAGCTGAGCAGCCAATTATTTTCTGCACTTCTCCAATCAACTTTTTGATCAAAGTTCTTTCTCCCTCAGTGGAATGTCTGGAACGACCCATTTTACTCACTAAGCAAGGACTGAAACCAGCAGGTATAACATCTGCTGCCTTCTTTGTAATACCTTTTTAATTCTTAAACCAATCAACATCAAACCAAGTTTAATGAGTTCCTCTGGCCCTCTCTCATCTTTCACACCCTTTCAGGAAATTTTCACAGTCATCTATTTTCCAGAACACCAGTGATATGTGACCTATAACCGTGTATCAATATTGCTGTTGGATAAATTGTAATAACTTTTTAATTCTTAAACCAATCAACATCAAACCAAGTTTAATGAGTTCATAAGAACATAAGAAATTTACAAACGAGAGGAGGCCATTCGGCCCATCAAGCTCGTTTGGGGAGAACTTAACTAATAGCTCAGAGTTGTTAAAATCTTA